TAATAATATAAATTATATAATTTAAATTATTATAAATATTTTATTACGTTATATTTTAATTCATATATTATTTATTTAATTAGGCGTATTTCAGCTATTATTTTTGCGGATATAAGACTCTCTATCTTTTAAACTTTAAGCTATTGTTTACTATGATGGAGAAATTCGGGAAAATGAAATCGGCGTTGTGTTCGCATCAAATTATTTTGTTAAAATATCCTTCAAGAGAAACATAACTCTTGAGGAGTTGATAACGAAGATTTCAAGGAAGGTTTATGTTGGAAGTAGTAGAAGACTGTCCTTGCTTCAGTACATATTTCCAACATCGATGTTTTCGTTAACTTATACAACATTCGAACTATCGAACGATGATGATGTTTGTTGAAGTACGTGCCATTCGTGGTATGTCATTATGCTCTCATTATGGGCTAGCTCAACAAGCTGATCAGGTTGACAACCCAACTACAATAATGTGTAATGATTGTAACGCCATAATGAGAAATTCGCATCATGGTGCCATCCCATCAAGTTCAATGGAAATACATTCATCATCCACTCCTTACAATGTGTACCGAGGTGGGTTCACAAACAATCCGTATAGTAAAATCGAGTCCAGTTCAAGGGGAAGGCATTCATCTGTAAATTTCTTTGACCTGAATATAGAGATGTCGTCGACGCAACAATCTGTGCAGTTTCCATTTGACACGATGACTTCAAGCTTCAGGGGGAGGCATTCTACTGCGAGCTTCTTCGATCTCAATGTCGAGATGCCTTCAAGTTCAAGGGGAAGGCATGCAAGTACCAGATTGTTCGACCTAGATGTGGACAACGTGGAGGAACCCTCATCTCCACTAGAAGAACCGCTTTGTGAGCCAGGTGCAGATGGTGCTGAGACTTGACTATTTATCATTTTCAAATGGGATATTTTTTCCCTTATTAAGAGATCTGAAAATCTCTCCTCATAAAAGAGAGATTATTTTCCTTCTTAGATTAATTTGGATCTACTGTACTTTAGGAAATAATAATATTCTTTTCAAAAAATTATTATTCTTGCCATAAAACTCGTATTCTCTTGAAAGGATGCTCATCGATCGGTATATGGAAACATCGTCGACATGTGACTGGTCGTGGGGCTTATAAATGGGTTGAAGGATGTAATGGGATCGAATGAAATTTCGGACAAAATGAGCGTCTACAGGTGTCTAAGGTGCACCCAATCTATCTAGATTTTTCAGAATCTAATCCTTCAATTTCCATGTTAATTTACTTATTTTCTTCTATTTTTACAATATGTTATATTTTAAATGATGCATTTTAAAATTAAGTTATGGGTGTTCAAAATTGTGTACCCTAATTTTCGGGTACTCGATTTTTCGAGTAGTGTATATATCGGCCTGTGACTCAGCCTGTTAAGTCCGGGTACCCATAAAATTCGGGTACTCACATTTTTGGGTCACAGGTACCCGATTCATATATATATATATATTAAATTTAAATTTAAATAAAAATACATAAAAAATTAAAAAATTATAATATATTATCCACGTACAAAAATTAGTGATTTGAAGTTAGTTTTTAATAGAAATATTTGGATATATAATTAAAGTTTATATTCAAAAGAAAATATTAAAAATATTGATATCGATCGTGATTTTTTTCGAATCTTATTTTGACAAATTAATAAAAACTTCTTTAAAAAATTTAAAATTTAAAAGAACATAATACAAACCTAAGAAAAATTTAAGAATTTAAATTTAATTTTAAGGTCAAAATATTACGAAACCTAAACTTAAAATATATTTTAAACTAAATAAATAAATATATATATATATTAAAATTACTGGGTCGGGTCAAGTGCTCGGTTATAAAAAAGTTTTTGGCCCAAACCTAGCCCAAGTACCCGGGATAAATCACGGGTTAGGTACCTGTCCTGGTTGGGTAAATTTTTTAGAAAATTACCCTTTTTTTTAGGTACGGATCGAGTCAATCGGATCAGGTATTTTTAAACACCCCTAGTTATCAGTACCGTTAAATGTTAACGGCAAGTGATTTAATTGGATGCAATTAAATAATTAGGTGATTTAATTAATAAAATTGAAAAATTGTTGATTAAAATAAAAGAGTTAAATAGTTAAGCAATCAATAATATAGTTTACCCGTTAATTATGAGTTTAGCTGCTGCCCTATGCAACTAACAAATTGGGAGAATATAAAAAGAAAAACTTTGGAATCCGCAGAGAAGGAAGAAGCTGTTTTGGAAACAAACCCAGCAGATTCATAAATAAAAAAAGCAGATTCTTTGGTTGATCCCCAAAATATCTTAGTTTCCATATTCATTTTTATTTCTTTTATGCCCCCAAAACCCATCCCAGATATTTTCTCCACCCATCCTCGCCTGCAATGAATAAATATATACTAATAAAAATATCTACTTCCATTTCTAACGGGAAAAATTTTACTTTTAATATAAGGTTAAAATAAAATGTTATTGATTTTGTTATTATTTAAATAATAAATTGATAAAAAATTACCGATAATATTATTTTTTTACCTAAACATCATTTTTAATATTTTTGGATATTTTTTAACGCCTAATAATATTTTCGGTCATTTTTTAATGCCTAATAATATTTCCGTTCATTTTTTTTAAAAATCCGTTTAAAACGTCCAATAATAATAAAACCGATCATTTTTAACGCCTAATAATGTTTCCGGTCATTTTTTATCGGAAACGTCTCTTTTAGCCGTATATTAAGGTTGTCGTACGTGAGCATTCCCCATTTCCCACTGTATTGCAATGGATTTATCTTATTAAAAAACATTCAAATTAAAATATTTACTAATAAAAATAAGTTCATTTCAAATTGAGTTAATTTTTTATTTTTAATATTCTAAATAAAATTTATTATTTCATTGATTAAGTGATATTGATACTCTATTTTCTTCAATTATAAAAAAAATTCAAATTTAATTTAATTTGATGACTTTTATGATTATATAATGCATGTTACCGTTATAAATGTATATATGACATTAAATGATAGGTTAAGTTATGAAGTTTTTGTAGTAAAAATACACATAAGAAATAATTTTTATTTTTATTATATTGAAGAAGTCTATTAAAAAAGTTTAAGCCCTTCAAAAAAAGAGTTTAAGTTGTCTATTTACAAGGAGATATTAAAAAAATCTGACTACTTTGATATTAAAGACCAAGCCAGCATTATTCAAACATGACAAGATAGTATGAAAGATCTTTGATGATCAGTAGATGAAATAATCAGGCCTTGCCTGCTGTGACAATTTCTTGTCACTATAAAGTTGAAAGCTCTTGGTATGATTTTAATAAAAAAAAAACAAAGTCTATAAAATGAGCGTTTAATATTTAAATTATCAGTTTTTACCTGTTTTAGTATCTAAATTTTTAAAACTATGTTTAAAGTTTAATTTTTATTTCATTATAGTACTCTTATTTAAAATTTAACATTGAGTTTTTTTAAAACTTAAAATTTAAGTACTAAAATGGATCAAAACTAATTGTTTAGGTACTAAGCTCGTTAAATTTTTAATGGTAGGTATTAAATTGAAACAAAAACTAAAAGTTAGATATTTTTTTGAAAAAATTAAAAATTTAGATACTAAAATGGATCAAAATTAACAGTTTAGATATTAAATACGTAATTTACCCATAAAACAACATCGACGACTTAATTTGCTTTTTTAGTGTATAAATCTAGATATTTGGCAACTGAATATATAATACTTTTATGTTTTTGGTGATAATGTAGTAGATTTTTTGTATTAACAATCAATGTTCATATCTAAATCTAAAAGTATTATACTAATAATAATGATGTAATGATTTATCAACAAAATTTTTAATCTAATACTTTTAGTGATGTAAAAGGAGTTATGCAGTATATGTCATACGACAACCTAATATACGGTTAAAGAAAATCGCTACTGAAATTATTATTAATTTTTTAACATTTTCGATAAAACGTTACTGAAAATATTATTTTTTTCTACATGAAACGTTAATTTCGCTACTTAATTTCCTATAGAAAAACCGATAAAAAAATAACATTTTAGGTAGCGTCCAATATTAACATTTTCAATAAAAAATAATATTTTAAGTAACATTTTATCAAAAATATTAAAAAATTAATAATATTTTCAGTAGGGTCTTTCTTCAATTATATAATGAGAAAAATCCCAAAAAGCAAGTAGATGCTTTTGGTGAAAAGTTTGTAAATCATTTAAAAACATCAACCAACAGAAATAAGAAATTATGTGAATCAGCTACCTCATCATTTTTTAACCTAATAATCAGTCCGATGATGTAAAAACAAGTAGATATTTTTTTAGAAAATAAAAATATCTTTATTAAATTATACTATTGAACATGATTAATACTGCTTCACTCACATAAAAAAAACAATTACCATATTTCTAATATTTTTTATGTTTGAATTGTGAATTTTGCGGTTTTATTAGAGATATATTAACGCTTTTATGTTTAAAATTTTAAAATAGTATAAAAATATTAAATATTACTTTTTTTATTAATTTGAGATAAATACAAAATATTATCTGTTTAAATATAACCCTTAATCATTTGATATTAAATATTTACACTTCAACATTCTTAGTATTCGAATTCTCAACTATTTATTTATCACTGAGGTACTTGATTTTCGCTAAATTTTAAAATTTTGTTGATTCCTAAAAATTTTCGTTAATTATCTTTATTTATTGAAAAACAAAATAGTATTTTATGCAGTTACCAAAATTAATTATCCAAAACAGGTGGCGGTTAGGCATTGGTAGGATCACGTCTCAGCTTGACCTTTGGAAAACTGTAGTTAAAAGAAAGACTAGAGGGTCTAATGTATGTTATTTGATATCCAAATAAATAAATAATGTATTGTTATTTGAAGTAGGTGAAAAAGGAGCCTCAACTCTATAACCCCCCCCCCCCCCAAACTCTCTCTCACCCCAACTTCTAGATTAGCTGTGCAAAATTTCCATCACCACTAAAATCTGGACTTTTGGCATTTGAACAAACCAAACCAAAGGCGGCGCCTGTTTGTGTATCGGAGATGTACTCGCAAGTGCCGAGCAACCCAAACGAAGAGTCGTGGACGGAGGAGAAGCATGTGAAGTTCCTCAACTCCATGGAAGCATGGTTCGTCCGTACTATGCTTGACAACAAAGATCGCTTTAATCTCCGTCTGGACCGTCACGTGCCTGACACCTCTGACTCCACTCTTGATTGCAATTGCAAACACAATGCTCCCACCACAAGGAACCACACTACTTCCGGTATTATTTCTTCACCTTCTACTAATCCGCCTGCTTTTATTTAATCATTCTGGATTTTCCCTGCACTAGGTTTTACTGCAACAAATCGACGCAAAATGAAGGCCAGGCCTGGTAAAAGATCAAGAAGATCATCCTCTCAGCCTCTTGCTTCAACACAAGATCAGGTTAGTCACCCAGGATTTAAACTACCTTTACGATCACGTTTTTAGTTGTACATAATATATATTATTAGTGTTATTACTGCTATATAACAATCTATAGTTCTAAACAAACCGCTATCAAAGTACTTATGTAGCCTTGTTCAAAAAAGCAATTTTAGATTCATGGGTAAAGCTAAACAGTAGTTATTATGTGTGTTTTCTAGGTTGTTCCACAGGTTGAAAACAGAAGAGAAGATAAAGGAGGGAAATAGCCATAGGGTGTCCCAATTTTGGTGCTTCATCCAAACTGATGAATGTTTGACATGTTTCTGGGACCCTTTATGCATTTAATTTTGCATGGGGTTTCTAAGTAGAATAGGTTGAAAGTGATTTGTGAGCGTGTAGAATATGTACTGATGAAAAAGGTTAAATTGCATCTTGTTCAGCCCCACACCATTTACTTCACTTTCCAGGATTATCGATTCTTGACTTGCTTTGGAAGATATTTTTCACCCTGCCTTGATTCTTGAGCAAACATCTTCTTATTCAAAATGTAGTTTCCTTTAACAATATTCATTTATGCCATTCTTTTATAAGAGAAAATAATTTCAGTGACCAAAAATTTCATATAATATACGATTTTAACCAATTTTTTCCGGATTTGTCAAAATGACCAACAAAATCGCAATGCGATCGCTAATTCGCAACGCGATCTCCATTATCGCAAATCAGTTCCCAGATTCGCAACGCGATTATGACTATCGCAATGCGATTTTTCAATTTCGCGTTGCGATTTTCCCAATTCACAATGCGAATAAGTAAATCGTAATGCGAATAAGTAAATCGCAATGTGAATTTGAAAAATTGCAATGCGATACTGATTATCGCAACGCGATAATACAAAATCGCAACGCGATACTGACTTTCGCAACGAGATACTGACTTTCGCAATGCGATTCTGACTTTCGCAACGCGATTCTGACTTTCGCAACGAGATTCTGACTATCGCAACGAGATAATACAGAATCGCAATGCGATTTTCAAAGTTCGCAACATGTTTTAGTTTCGCAACATCCTTCTGAGTGGGACATACCAGATGACTTACAAACAGTTTTGCCACCAGCCATGGACAGAAGGCTACCTGGCCGACCAAAAAGTCACGATCGTATACCGTCTAAGGGTGAAGAGAAGAAGAGATCGACATGTAGTCGGTGCAAGGAAAGTGGTCATACAAGGTTGACATGTGGTTCACCAGTGCCATCACAATCATATTTTCCTCTACCAAAATATGGATCCTCATCAAAATCCAAAGCTCATATGGTGTCAAGCAAAAGGCAATTAAAATCGCAATCATCTTCAAAATCCCAATCACAACCGGCTTCACCTTTTGGGACTATTAACTTAGGTGATTTTTAAATGCAAACGTTGTATTATGTGTATTTTATGTGTGCACTTTTAACATTTTCAGTTAGGCATGTATTAGTAACTTGAGTTTGAACATTGCTATGATCTGTTCAGTTGTTATCACTTATTAGACATTCATTTGACTATCGCAACGGGGAAATCGCAACGCGAAAATGACTATCGCAACGCGAAAATGGCTATCGCAACGATAAAATCGCAATGCGAAATGAAAATCGCATTGCGATTTTCTCGTTGCGATTTTCATTTCGCATTGCGATTCTCTCGTTGCAATAGTCAGTTTCGTGTTGCGATAGTCTGTTTTGCCTTCAACATAATGCATATTGAAAATCAACAAATCAACTATTATATTTCAATCAATTAAACAAACACAAATAAGAATTATGTACACATCAATTAAACAAATCAACATTTACAAATCAATTAAACAATCAAAAAATAATAATAATTCTTATTTCCTCATCAATTATTGAATCAATGAATCAACTTTTGCACCCATACATCCATTTCACGCAGCTCACTTAAGGATTAACCTGCAGAAACCAAACATTTGCTCAAAAAAGACTTCCTACACATCTAAAACCTACAAACAACAAATTATTGAATTCTAGGTACTTAACCAAACATTTTCAAACCAAAAGGAGTATATATGTTAACAAAACTTGCATTTGACTTACCAATTAACAATGGATACTTTCATAACGCGGATGCAGGTAGGCAGCGTCTCGAATATATCGCTCTAGCCATATAATGCCGAAACCACAAGCCTATTGCAGCTCTATCTCTATCGGTGGGAGGTAGAAACTCTGTGCTTCCCGTCGTCAAACGCGCCAAGCACATGCATACGAGAGGACCACAATCCCTTCTGGCTCCCGGTGATTGTTGTGGCGCGATCTCGTCTCTGACAACTGTGACATTGAACTTCTTTGGCTTCTTGTGTCCAGAATGAGTCCAATAATTAATCCCATCAAAGAATTTAGCCAAATGAGAGCTCCATCCCTTGATAATATCTCTCAAATCAGACAGTGATATGTAATTTATCATGCTGTCATATACTATTATCTTCAGGGATGGAAGCTGAAGTTGGACGAGAAGCCAATGACGACGTTCCAAAACAGAGATAAACACCTGCAATCATAAGTAATAATTCATTTATTTGCGCACTTATTTATAAACACCTTTAAAAAATTTAAAAAATAAACACTAACCTTATCGACCTCCCACCATGCAGGATAAAGTTTAGCTTGTCCATTGCCCAACGAAAATGATTCATCTCGTTGATTCTTCAAGTGAACTGCGTGAAAAGCCGCCGACATTATTGTATATCGCGAATTTTTTTAATTTTTCCTAAGCTTCCTTATTATTAGAAGACGTGACACCCACGCATCGATATGTTGTTTTACAAAAAAAGACATATATTAGTGAATTACATTAATTTTTTAAAAAAATTAATCAAAATCATATATAAGATAAATATAAGACTTACCTCCCCATCGAAATAGCCACTGTCTTCAACCCCTAATAACACACCCCACCAAGACCGATTAAGCAACAAATACATCTCATCGTTGAGTTTGCTTATGTCAGTGTAACACCCTTGGCTCCGCTCATGTAGATAAAAATCAACTGCGGTCTTAGCCCAAAGGGTATTATCCAGAATTGTTTCCGGTAGTTGTCTCCTCTCCACTTCAGATACCGGAAGGGTACTAGCCGGTAACTCATACGAGAGCCAACTCTCATCCATCATGTCCGACAACGGTGGGGGTTTCTCAATAATTCGATATATTACCCCATGTGAATCGGGCTCTGGAATGGTGGGAGGGACCTCTTCAACGATGACAGTGGCCTCTTGAACGGTGGGGGGGGGGACTCTTGAGGGATGATAGGGGCCTCTTGAACGATTGGAGGGGACTCTTGAGGGATGAAAGGTGAGTTGGTCTTCTTCTTGCGGAGTCTTCGCACCATTGGGGTGAACGGAGATGTAATAGCACGTGCACGCCGTCTGATGTGTGAACTCCGTCGTGCAAGGAAAACCCGACGTAAAACATCCACCTTATCGGGCCGCTAAAAAAATTAATACATAAATCAGTAAATAATCAGACATGATATTAAACAAAGGCAAATATGTTTCAAACTTGCATTGTATTCACCCAAGTCATTATTCTATCATAGTTCACAAAATGCATCAGATAACATTCCAGAAGTAAGCACTTATATAAACATTTAAAAGGACAACATATATAAACATTCCAGAAGAAGAATAGTTTACTTTCGCAACACGAAACTTACTTTCGCAACGCGAAAATGACTATCACAACGCGGAAATGGCTATCGCAACGCGGAAATGGCTATCGCAATGCGAAATGAAAATCGTAATGACAAAATCGCAACGACAAAATCGCAACGCGAAACACAAATCATTTTCGTGTTGCGAAAGTAAACTATTCTTCTTCTGCAAATTGAAACTTGAATGGATTGCATTACTTCAACCAAAAGACAAAAACAAAACCAAAAACAGATACTAACAAAAACAGTTTAGCAGTATTGGCAGCAACCGAATGAATTTATTAAGCAATCTAAGTGAAATGGTTAATCTAAGTGAAATTACGAGTAAATTTATCATCAAGTTAAATATGAAAAATCTTAAACTTACCTCGTTGCGTAGAGTATGAACCTCATTCAGCAACGATGCTACCATCTCACGTAGAGCGGCTACCTCACCACGTAAAGTAGACACCCCAACACGCCATGCACCATCGTCTTTGCGTAAAGTACCGACCTCCTCACACAAGGCATTGACCTCATCACGTAACTCCCCTAACGCATCCCGTGGAGGTGGAGAACAGGGAGATAAACGTCATGGCATCTTTGCCAGTCACCTATCTTGCGGTGATGGTGGAGAAGAGGCTCGATGATGTGACAGAATAGGTGATGGCTGTCGTTGTGGAGGTGTATAGTCGGGTCGATCAGGTGATGGCTCTGGGTGAGGTGATAGCTCTGGGTGAGGTGATGGCTCCCGAAGTGGAGGCTGCTCATCATCAGTGGCAAGCTCAGCTTCCGTGGGTGTCAGCCTCTGTAATGGAGTGTTGGCCTCCTAACAATATAAAAGCTCAAACAAAGTTAAACGTGTACTAGTAATAACTTGTTTATAAACATATGGTAGTATTTATGTTAACTTACATTATTTATTGTCGTATACCGTAGTAAATCTTCCCATTGCAAGGTCCGTTTCCTCTTCCAGGAAATAGCCCTGGGAATATCATTTGAAGTTTTTATTGCATATGTCTTCATGGCGAGAAAGGCCTCAAATATCCAAATCTACAAACAATATAATAACAAACATTAGTAATTGTTAAATAATTACTTATAATTTTGGAAACATTATATAAAAATTCTTACCTTAAAGGCCCAAATAAAGCCTGTCAAAGTGTATTTGGAACCATCGCCATGCAAACTTTTTCGATCATCCAAGGCAGACGATAACTTATTCCATGTAGCTTTCCATAAATACGAGCCCTACGGAAACAGGTTCCACGCATTTAGGTCTTCTACCAATTTGATTAGATCATTCGGAATAGGTTGTCTGGCCTCTCTGCCTAAAAAGCCGGCATGCAAAAGTATTAGAAGGCATACTCGGACAACATCGACGTCATCCATCTGAGTAAAACCATCTTTCCTATTCAATAATCTCGTCAGGTCTTCTACGTGTAGATTCGACCTCTCCAGCTCAGGAAAAACCCGGGATAACCATGATGGGCGGGTAATGTGTCTAGTGTACCGACCTACATCATCATGTCCGAAGAGTAGACCGGTGATTAAGCAAAACTCCTCCCGCCCAAAACACGTATAC